CACGGGAGGGGCGGGCAGGGGAAGGGAGGGGGAGAGCAGCCCCCCCTCAACCCCCTCCCTCCCCCCTCCTCTTCTCCCTCCGGTGCCAGCTCTCTTCAAAACACAGACATGTGATGAGTAATTATGTGTGTAAAGTTGGGTCACGTGAGGAGAGGAGAGTGTGAGGACGCGCACGCATGTGCGGGAGGGTCCCGTGGTGGTGGTGGTGGGTCGGGAACGGGTCCCTAAGACCAGGACACCCACCCCTTCTGGATCCGGAGCAGGCTGGCTCCACTCAACTGGCCACATGTTTTCTCCCCCCCCCCGTTTCCGTTATTGTGTTTGCAAAGTTGGGCGGGCGGGAGGGGGGGGAGAAGCGTGCGGACTGGCCAGGGAATGAACCTGGGGAGCAAGAAGAGGTGGGGAGGGGCCTTTGGGAAAGACTGACAGGGGGGTCTTCGGGAGGGGCGTCCATCAGGTCTCGAGTTCCTTGCAAAGGTGGGTCCATTGACAAAGCGTGTGCATCGGTGCTGCGGGCAGGAGTGGGAACTGGCAGGCGGTTCTGGCGCCTGTGTGGGTCAACGCGGAACAAGGAAATAGACCCCAGCAATGCTCCCTCTAAGCTGTGGAGTCTTGTGAGCAAAAATTCTACTATGTGAGCTAAGACAAAAATGTGTGAGCCAGAGACTAAACAACTCTGACCTTGCTCACACTAACTCAGCTTGGAGGGAACACTGGACTCCAGTGGTGGCTGCATCTAGAGCAGCCCTGAGGAGATCAGCTAGAGTAGAGGTCATGGGGGGGAGTGAGAGGTAGTTGTGAATTTCCTGTGTTCCGTAGGGGGTTGGACTAGATGGCCCTTGAGAGTCCCTTCGAGCTCTCTTTCTAACTCAGGCCCATTAAATGGGGCTTCCTCCCAGGAAAGTGTCCTTAGGACTGCACTTGTTAGCATAGCTGAAAAAGGTCACCAGCTCCTTTCCTCTTGCTGACTTAATTTGTGCACAAAGGTGGAAAGTTAAGTGTGTGTGCCCGTCTCTGTGTGGAAGTTTCGTCTTGCCTCCAGGAAGCATCATGGAACTAACTGAATTATAGTCTCCTTTCACCTTGACAAGTATGTATTTTTGTTTTTTATTTATTTATTTTCAAATTGGATAGTACATTTCCTATCTGGGGAATACCGCTTTCTTTTGCTTTGAAGTTAGGGAGGAAACAGTGCTGAACAAGGAGTAAGGTGGGGCTGTGTTTAGCTTTGGCTGGTTCCCAAGTCTGTGTTGGATGCATAAAGGGGGCGGGGAATCCGAAATGCAAAATAGGAATAGAACAGACCCCGGGAGGTGTTCTTAAATGCATGGAATCTGTCCCAGTGGGAGCAGCACTGGCCTCCAGATTTTCTTTGAACTCCATCGACAAAAACAGAGGTGGGAGAAAAAAAACCTTGATAATAAAAACATTACTTAGGATGTGTGTTAGCATTGATTGTAATGACAAATATGGAGCGTATAAGGGATTGTGGTGGGGACAGCAATCCAGAAATGTCCTCTTCGTTCAGCATACAATCCGTTCTTAGATGTTCAACGAAGTCTTTTTGGTGAAGTTTCAGTGGGTATCTGTGCAGGTCTGCAAAAGAACAAGATGGGTTACCCATGTTAGTCTGTCTGTAGCAGCAGAAAAGAGCAGGAGTCCAGTAGCACCTTAAAGGCTACACATTTGTGGCAGGGGAGGAGCTTTTGTGAGACTGAAGAAGTGAGGAGTGACTCACAAAAGACCCAACCCTGCCATGAATTCTGTTAGTCTTTAAGGTGTTACCAAACTCTTGCTCTTTTCAGATCTGTAGAAGTGAGCAGAGACTCACAAAATCTCATGCCCTGCCACAAGTTTTGTTCAGTCTTTCAGGTGCTCCTGGACTCTTGCTCTTTTCAGAACCGAAAAAGTGAGCAGTGACTCACGAAAGCTCCTCCCCTGCCACAAATTTTGTTAAGTCTTGAAGGTGCTACCGGACTCTTGCACTTTTCTGTTGGTACAGACAAACACGGCTACCCATCCTGATCTATCTCCATGGAGGGCACCACATTTAGCCATACAGGATGGAAGTACATCAGCCTTGTGATTATAAAGACAGATCGAGTCACATTCTAGCTGTATCTGAAAAAGTGAGCAGTGACTCACGAGAGGGCCTATTCTGCCACCAGTTTTGTTAGTCTTTCAGGTGCTCCTGGACTCTTGCTCTTTAGAACTTTAGATCTGAAAAGCGCCTATCCTGCCACCAGTTCTGTTAGTCTTTCAGGTGCTCCTGGACTCTTGCTCTTTAGAACTTTAGATCTGAAAAGCGCCTATCCTGCCACCAGTTCTGTTAGTCTTTCAGGTGCTCCTGGACTCTTGCTCTTTAGAACTTTAGATCTGAAAAGCGCCTATCCTGCCACCAGTTCTGTTAGTCTTTCAGGTGCTCCTGGACTCTTGCTCTTTAGAACTTTAGATCTGAAAAGCGCCTATCCTGCCACCAGTTCTGTTAGTCTTTCAGGTGCTCCTGGACTCTTGCTCTTTAGAACTTTAGATCTGAAAAGCGCCTATCCTGCCACCAGTTCTGTTAGTCTTTCAGGTGCTCCTGGACTCTTGCTCTTTAGAACTTTAGATCTGAAAAGCGCCTATCCTGCCACCAGTTCTGTTAGTCTTTCAGGTGCTCCTGGACTCTTGCTCTTTAGAACTTTAGATCTGAAAAGCGCCTATCCTGCCACCAGTTCTGTTAGTCTTTCAGGTGCTCCTGGACTCTTGCTCTTTAGAACTTTAGATCTGAAAAGCGCCTATCCTGCCACCAGTTCTGTTAGTCTTTCAGGTGCTCCTGGACTCTTGCTCTTTAGAACTTTAGATCTGAAAAGCGCCTATCCTGCCACCAGTTCTGTTAGTCTTTCAGGTGCTCCTGGACTCTTGCTCTTTAGAACTTTAGATCTGAAAAGCGCCTATCCTGCCACCAGTTCTGTTAGTCTTTCAGGTGCTCCTGGACTCTTGCTCTTTAGAACTTTAGATCTGAAAAGCGCCTATCCTGCCACCAGTTCTGTTAGTCTTTCAGGTGCTCCTGGACTCTTGCTCTTTAGAACTTTAGATCTGAAAAGCGCCTATCCTGCCACCAGTTCTGTTAGTCTTTCAGGTGCTCCTGGACTCTTGCTCTTTAGAACTTTAGATCTGAAAAGCGCCTATCCTGCCACCAGTTCTGTTAGTCTTTCAGGTGCTCCTGGACTCTTGCTCTTTAGAACTTTAGATCTGAAAAGCGCCTATCCTGCCACCAGTTCTGTTAGTCTTTCAGGTGCTCCTGGACTCTTGCTCTTTAGAACTTTAGATCTGAAAAGCGCCTATCCTGCCACCAGTTCTGTTAGTCTTTCAGGTGCTCCTGGACTCTTGCTCTTTAGAACTTTAGATCTGAAAAGCGCCTATCCTGCCACCAGTTCTGTTAGTCTTTCAGGTGCTCCTGGACTCTTGCTCTTTAGAACTTTAGATCTGAAAAGCGCCTATCCTGCCACCAATTTTGTTAGTCTTTCAGGTGCTCCTGGACTCTTGCTCTTTTCAGATCTAAAGAAGTGAGCAGTGGCTCACGAAAGTGCCTATCCTGCCACCAGTTTTGTTAGTCTTTCAGGTGCTCCTGGACTCTTGCTCTTTTCAGATCTAAAGAAGTGAGCAGTGGCTCACGAAAGTGCCTATTCTGCCACCAGTTTTGTTAGTCTTTCAGGTGCTCCTGGACTCTTGCTCTTTCCAGAACTGAAGAAGTGAGCAGTGACTCACGAAAGTGCCTATCCTGCCGCCAATTTTGTTAGTCTTTCAGGTGCTCCTGGACTCTTGCTTCTTTTCTGCTGCAGTAGAAAGGGACTACCGCAAGGGACCAACAAGGATTTCAGGGGATAAGCTTTTGAGAGGCAAAGTTCCCTTTGTTAGACGTGGCAGAGTAGAAATGTAGATCTCTTTTATCCTAGCTAGGTGGACTCTCAAAAGCTTACACCCTGAAACTCTTGCTGCTCTCTGAGTTGCTACTGGACTTGGATCTAACTGCTTCCCAACAGTTGTTCATCTCCTAGAAAGCAAAAAAACTGGTTCAGTCTTCCTTAGGTCTTGAGGCAGGCGAAGACAGTCTTTTTCTCATTGGCAATGTTAATTTTTTTTTAAATTCTGTACACCAAGAATGCTCTCCTACTGATAGGTGCGCACAAAATCATAAAGTCTGCTATTAAAAGGAATTTTCAGGGCCTCTTAAGGTCAGTGTCTTGCTGTTCGCTGAAGGTGTCGTGTGAACAGGTGATGAAGAAATGTCCTGGAGTTACATCAGTGGTCAGTTTTCTTAGTTAACTGCAAAACAGTGAATGGGGGAATTAAGAGAGGAAGCCAGATCAGTTGGGCTCTGAGTCAGGTCCCCGCATTGCACTCCTTGCCTACTTTTCCTTCTTCTCGTAAGTATCTCTCCCCCCACCCCTAATTCTTCTCTGGAGATAAAATAGCTGTGTGTGTCCAACAAGCCCTGTCTTTTTCTAGAAGTCCAGCTGACCTTAAAATGACAACACATGCTGAGTTCTACAAGCACTTTTGCTGTTCGAGGGGATTTGCAAACATTGCTTTACTTTAATCCTAAAAATAATCCCCTCAAGGTGGGCCTATATTATTACCATAACCCCCAACGTTGCAGACACAAAGGTGAGGCAGAGTGACTTGACTAAGACCACCCTAGGAAATCAGTGGCAGAAGGGAGATTTGAATTCAGGGTCACCCACATCAGGACATAAGAAGATAAGAACATAAGAGAATCCAATGGTGGATCAGGCCGATGGC